CACCCCATTCTACTCTCTGCTTCTGTGAATTTGACTCTTTTGGATTCCACATATAAGTGAGATCATGCAGTTTCTGTCTTTCTGTGTTTGACTTATTTCACAGGTTCACCCATGTTGTATTAAATGGCAAGATTTCCCCCTCCCCCCATCCTGATCCTTCCTTTTAAAGGCTGAATAGGATTCCATTGTGTATATACCACATTTTCTTTATCCTTCACGTGTTGACAGACACTTCTGTTGTTTTCAAATCTTGGTTATTGTGAATAATGCAGCACTGAACATGGGACTGCAGATATCTCTTTGACATATAGATTCATTTCCTTTGGATATATACCCAGAGATGGAATTGCTGGATCATATGGTATTTCTGTTTTTAATTCTTTAAGGAACAGCCATACAGTTTTTCATAATGGCTGAACCAATTTCTCCACATCCTCACCAACACTTTTTTGTCTTTTCGATAATAGCCATTCTAGCAGGTGTAAGGTAATATCCCACTGTGGTTTTGATTTGTGTTTCCTTAATGATTTGTGATGTTGAGCACTTTTTCTTATACCGGGGGCCATTTGTGTATCATCTTTTGAGAAATGTCTGTTTAGGTCCTTTCCCATTTTAAAATTAGGTTGTTTGGGTTTTTTTTTTTTTTTTTTTGCTAATGTGTCGAGTTTCCTGTATATAACCCCTTACTGAATGTATGATTTACAAATATTTTCTCCGATTCCGTAGGTTGTCCCTTCACTCTGTTGTTTCCTTTGCTGTGCAGGTTTTCAGTTCATTGCAATCCCGGTTGTCTATTTTTTGCCTTTGTTGCCTGTGCTTTTGGTGTCATATCCAAAAACATCGCTGCCTAGACCAATGTCAAAAATCTTTTTCCCCGGGCTGGCCCAGTGGCGCACTGCTACAGTGCGCCGCTTGGGAAGCGCAGCAGCGCTCCCGCCGAGGGTTCGGATCCCACATACAGACCAGCCGCTCACTGGCTGAGCGAGGTGCGGGAGCAACACCGAGGGTTGCGATCCCGTTGCCGGTCCCGGTCCGGTACGGGTGCGACACTGAGGGTTGCGATCCGTTGCCGGTCACGAAAAAAGACAAAAAGGAAAAAAAAAAATCTTTTCCCCTGTTTTCTTCTACTAGTTTCATGGTTTCAGGTCTTACATTTAATTCTTTAAACAGTTTGAGTTGATTTTGTACTTGCAGAGGAAGCTCTTGAAAAAGCCAGCCTTTAGGTTCAAGAGATCCTTGGTGTGAAGAAATGACCCCTGACAGAAGCATCACTAACTGCACCCAGCATGCCGTCTCCACGGTGATCA